AGGGAGAAAGCTTTCATAGAACCTTTGACTCCCTCCGCCCCCTACCATCCCTTCCAAAAAAAGGCTTAGGTCTTTGACTTGATAGTGTTGGTGAAGGACGCACCTTTTACTCTCTTGATGGCCCAGAGAGCCCCTTTAAACATGGATTAACTTCAACTTGATTTAACTTTTGACAAATAGTCTCTGTATTATCAGTTGTTGCCCTGCCTTATCTGCAGTATTCATCCTACTAACTTTCTTAACTGAAACCTTTTACTTGCTTGCCACACCCTATATCTTCTTAACTTTCTGGATTTCAGGGAGCTAGTCTCCACTTCATGTAATGTTTATATATAGCTTTGTATAAGGTTGAATGACAGGATCATGATTTCAAGGAGTTGAGCAAGCACTGTATTAGGTAGATATATTATAAAATGAATAAACTAGGTACTGAGTATTTGTGTGTGTGTGTGTGTGTGTGTGTGTGATTCATTGCTGTGGTGAGGAAGGGGAGTGTTCTTGAGCTGGTTGGGGAATACTTTATTGAGAAGAAGGGGATTTAGAAATTGTTTAAATATGGAAGAAAAAGATATCAGTATGGTTGAGGAGGTATGATAGGGTTAGGCTTTTCAGGTATGGTAGGGTACAATTTAAGAAGAGAATTAAAACAGCAAGATAGGCAGGGACAAAGTGTCGAGGGGTTAGTCTGCTTTAAACAGATCTGTCTTTATAATCATTTCTATCTTCTCTCAAGTAAGGAATTCTTTGGCACTGGCTGCTGGATGTTTCACACTGGCCTCTATTTCATAAATGATGTCTGAATAACATATCTTTATTCTCAAGTTCCCAATTTTAGCTCTTGTTTCATCTCTTTTGATACCCTTCATATACAGAGTCATAAGGGCTTGTCTTGTAAGGAGTATGGTAAGAGTCACCTGTAATCCCACCATATAGAAAAAATTATTAATGTTTAGTGTACCTTTGTAGCCTTTTTTTTCTGTTTTTAAATTAAAATTATATACACATACGTATATATAGCTCTGCAGTTTTTGCATAATAGATCATGAATACTTTAGCATTAAATATTCTTCTAGAACATACTTTTAAATACGTATAATATTTTATCATAGGGATGTACCATAATCCCCTATTGTTAGGAATTTGTTATTTCCAAGTTCTCACTAATTTTTGTAATATTCTTGTATATAGATCTTTTTTCATATCTGATTGTTTTTGGTATAAATTGTTGAATTTCTGGGTCAGTGATACAAGCCTTTTTTTGCACCCGGTAATGCATTGCTAAATTGTCCTCCAAAAAGGTAAAACCAGAAGTCTTTTTGTTTTCCCTTTGCTTATCTCAGTTAGGCTAAAAACATTCCTCTTCCTCAACTTCTAGTTTTTATTTGTTTTTTTACTTTGGAAGATTCTTCATTTAGAATTAGGTAGAATTTGAAAATGGAACAATTTGTATAGAATATTTATTACTTTATTTTTACTATCTTTCTCCCTAGGTATTTGGATGGTCTTTTCTTACATAGTTTCATTTAATCATGATTTCTTTTGCTAATAAAATAAGTTTGGAAAGGTAAGAGGAAATATGGCTATGTCAGTAGAGTTCTGTGGTCAAAAGTCAAGAAACTGAGTACACATAACTTTACCCTTCTGCCCTTTGGTATTATTGTTCTTGGTAGAAAGGAAAATCAGGCAAAGCATAGAACGGTACAATGTGATAGATGATGTGAAGGTTATAGTGACAAGACATGGGAGAGCAGACAAAAGATCTTAGCAGCATTTCCTTTCTTTTGTGATTAGCTGTATAAATCAGAGCATTTTTCTGAGCTTTGCCTATTTTTAATTTCAGTGGACCAGGTTGTATAAAGATACCATTTAAGGAGATGTGCATTGAAATATAGAAAATACTTAAAATTATTTAAAAAACTGTTAATAAGTAAGTTCTCAGAACAGTGGATAAGTAATTTTGTAAATTGCCGTAAAAGATTTTGATTTTGAAGTACTCTCTGTATAGTTGAAATGTCAGAGAAGTGAAAAGATCTCCACCAGGTCCAGTGAATCTCATGTGAGATTGTGGATTTAATGAAATGTTGCTTTTAGAGGACAAAATTAGTTGTTTATGGATATTCTAAAGTTTTGGAAAAAACTGTGAAAACAGGATACGTTGATAGGGTACCAAAGTAGTGTCTAAAGCTGATTTGAAATTTGAGCTTAGATGCCAGTAACATGCTTTTACCCTAACTAACTTTATTTGATATGAAGTAAGCAATTTCAGTCTATAATAGGGGTTGACATACTGTGGCCCATGGGCCAAATCTGGCCTGCCACCTGCTTTTTTATGATCTAAAGGTAAGGATGGTTTTTACATTTTTTAAAGGTTGACAGAATTCAAAAGAATATTTTTTTATGGCATGAGAAAATTATATGGAATTCAGATTTCAACATCCATAACTAAAATGTTACTGGGAAGCAGCCATGCTTATCCATTTATATATTGTCTGTGCTGCTTTTGAACCACAACAGCAGAGTTGATTGGTTGTGACAGAGATCATATGGTCCACAAAGCCTAAGATGTTCATTCTCTGCCCCTCAGGACAAAAAAAGGGATCAGTTTGTCTATCCTTGTTCTAGGTGTATAGTCTAATCCACCTTTAATTTTGATTTAATATATGATCCTGAGGAAGTAATTTTCTTCTTAATATATTTTCCAAGAGACTTGGCACTCAGTATTCAGTGGTGATGTAAATCACAGTTGTTTCCAAACTTAGTTTTTATATAACCCTACTGTCAGTCTTATTTAATGATACAGATCAGTGGCTCTCCTGATTTGGTCTTTAAACCCCTTTCTGTTCCTTTTCAGTGGGTCCCCAAGGGAGAAACTGTTTTTATAATAATGTAGGAAGTTATTTGCTGGTTTTATTGTATTGCCATTTACACTGATAATACAGAAACAGTGGTGGGTAAAACTGTTGTGTCTGAGCATGAATCAAGACAGGGACATCAGACCATAACAGTAATCATTGTACATACTTGCAATACCAAGTGCTAATTCTACCTAAGAATGGCCTTGATAAAACAGTAAAAACTTAATTTTATTAAGACTGAACCCCTTGGTACATGTCCTTTTGCTATGCTGTGTGGAAAGCATACATAATGGAAAGTATACATAAACCACTTCCACATAGTGAACTACGTGGTGGTTGTCCTGAGGAAAAGCTCTTGCATAGTTTGAACCTTGAACTAGCCAATTTTTTTCTGGGATGCAATTTTTGCTTCAACGAATGATTGACAAACTATCATTATTCAGATATTTGGCAAACATTTTTTTGAAAGTGAGTGAACTGAGCCAACACTTAAAGGAAAACAACTGATTATTTGTTGCCAACGAAAACTTAGAGTTTTCAACCCCAAATTAGTACTTTGGAGAACTTGCATTTACTACTTTGAGCTTGACAGTTTCCCAGTGCTTAAAAAATATTCTGATGAGATTGGTGGTGACAGTAAATATGTGATTATTTTGCGGGGATATTGTAATAATGAAATTTGTCACCGTTTCGAAGATATGTTTAACTCAGGGAACCAGGATTTTCAAAATGACCAATGTGTGATGTTGCAAAGTCATGCATGGATAAAAGATCCATCCAGCATACAAGACAGACCAATGGATTTGAATGTAACAAGAACAACTTTCATCAACAGGAATTTATATTCTACATGGCAGCTAAGCTTTAAGAAACTGCTACTTGTCAAGTTTTGGTGTAGTATCAAAAAACAATGTCCACAATTATTTGGAAAGGTTACTAACAGATTCACCCCATTTTCAGTTACATATCTATATGACCTTTCTTAAAATCTTTCAACTAGAACAACCTGTGACAACAGATTGAGTACAGAATCAGATAGAAATATCTAGCTAAGATGGATCTGTTAACAAGATTTGCAAAAATGTAAAACAGTGCTATTTATTGCACTAAATATTTTTTAGGTTTGGAAAATAGTTGTTCTTTATAAAAGTTATGTTAACATGTAGTGGGCTTTGATGTTTAACTAAAAAATGTTTTAGTCTATTTTCTAACTATCAAGCTTGGTCAGTATTTATAGACATAATGCCATAAACAAAAGTTCTTTGAGGTCCTTAGTAATTTTTAAGAATATGAAGGGATGTCATAGACCAGAAAGTTTAATAACTTGTTGTACATCATACTCAGTTATCATGAGATCAGTTATGTAAAATGGAAGAAGTAATTTTCATTGTTAAATGTTTCAATAGCACCTGTGAATCATTTTCTATTAGAAAACTACGATGCAACACAAACCAAAGCACTCTCTAAAAGCTTGTGGAAGAGGCTGAAACAAAAATTTCTAAAAATTCAGTCCTCAAAAAAAACCCTAAATGGCATGTATCTGACAGATGTGGATGGTTACCTAAAAATCACATCCCTGAGGATACATTATATAATAGTTAAATAATTTGATATAACTGCTCCAATAGTTACAATTTAACCATCGTCTGTTATACTTCATATGTGTTAACTCTGTCCCTAACTTAAAACCCTACATAGTAAGTAATATTAAGTAACTTGCTGTTTGTCACATAGTTTAAGTGTCAAGAGCTGGGATTCCAGCACTTTTTATCTTGCCCTAAAGCTCTTACTATTTTCCCTTTATCATAATGCTGTTGTTCACAGCAACTATGTGTATAAGCATCAGCTTTCTGTAAACAGTTTATAAAAAGCTCTGTGGTAAAGGCTTTTCGATAACAAGGTTAGACAAAGACTTGTCTTCAGTTCTAGTTTGATAATTGTTAAGGAGATTGTCTTCCAGAGTTATAAAGACTGTAAAAATGAATGAACTAAGCTGAAGCAAATTGCTAGACACTGACTTCCACCTGTAAATTACAGCCTTCTTCATTGACTTGGATACTATGAAAAAAATGGTCAGCATGATTTATATTCTTTTGGCTGGTTCTCAATTTTAATATCTGTTTACTGTTGTGATCATATTTCTAGGCTTCTCCAGTGACAGTGATATGATATCTCTTACTGTTGATGTGGATTCTCTTGCTGAGTTAGACGATGGAATGGCTTCCAATCAAAATTCTCCCATTAGAACTTTTGGTCCCAATCTTCCTTCGGATTCGTCAGCACTAGGCGCTGTTGCTTCTGACAGCGAACAGAACAAAACAGAGGAAGAACGGGAAAGTCGTAGCCTCTTTCCTGGCAGTTTAAAATCCAAGCTTGGCAAGAGAGATTATTTGGAGAAAGCAGGAGAATTAATAAAGCTGGCTTTAAAAAAGGAAGAAGAAGACGACTATGAAGCTGCCTCCAATTTTTATAGGAAAGGAGTTGACTTACTCCTAGAAGGTGTTCAAGGTACAATTTTATCTGTATTAATATGTTTTGGTATGTTATATTGGTATCTGGGAAAAAAGTATGTACATATAACTATCATATGTACAGTCCTATGTAAAAACAAGATTGAAAATGGGACACTGCTGAAGATTAAATGACCTAAGTATGGATACACATATATATATACTTTTAGTTAACAATATCAAAAATACTTCACACTCTACTTTGATCAATGAATCAACAAAAACAGGATTAAAAAAACAAGTTTCCACGTTTCTTGTATGAATAATAATGTTTTTTTTTTTCTGACATGGCCAGTGTTGTACCAGCCTTCACCTCTCTTGGGAATATTTGTAAAGATTCTTTAGTCTCGGTGGCCTGAAGACATGACATGAAATGGGCTTTTAAACCGAGTGTAAGGGGCTCTTGGATTTGCCTACTGTTCTGTTCTTTGTTGGTTGCAGTAAATTCTCAGCTAGTTAATGGGGGTGATGCTGGACATGTAGAGCTGAATATTGCTGAGTGTCTGTAAGTAGAACTTACCTTTTTTTCAAAGCATCAGTTTTTGTTTTAGTTATTTGTCATTTCCTTATAGAAGCAGAGTGATGCGTCCTGCAGCTGGTTACGTGACTTTCTGGACACAGTGTCACAGGGTGGTGGGACCTTCACAGGGTGGTGGGAGAAGTCATTTTCATTGTTCTGTGATCTTTGACTTGAGATTTCCACAATCTCCTGTATTATGAATACTTTTTTATTACAGTATTCCCACTGTCACTATGTGTGTTGTCCTGCGGGCCACAAGCGTCTGTTTCACTCTAACTAAAGTATAAATTTTCAGTCTTCTACTGTGATGTAAAGTTTGCTAGGGGAGCATTCTGGTCTTAAAGATCTACTCATTTTTTCTTCTTTGTCTTAACTCTTCCTTGGGACTCGGAGTTTAAAATGAGGATGAGTTGCAAACAATTGGCTCTGATATTTTTCCCTTTTCTTTTTAGATAACCGTGCTAAGACATTGTTAGTGTTTAATTGACACAGATAAAACATTACTGGGATTTTTTTCTGTCTAAAAGTTATTTGCATTTAACTGTGGAGCACTTCATAGTGTTACCACTTGATGGCACCAGAAAAATAAAAATCTTTCCTTCGGAGTGAGAATTATGGATGTGAATCAGCAAATAAGAAAAAACATATCAATTAGTTTTTAATGATTATGGTGGTGACTTTTTTCTCCACTAGAACTTGATACAAAATCTGCCAGACCTCTGTCTTAAGAAGTGTTACCATTTAAGCATATTTTTCCTATTTAATATATATGCCCATCTTTCTTAAAGCACAATATCCGTTCCTGCCCTGGATTGGTTTTTGTTGTTAATGTGTCATCAAATTGACCAAGTTACAATTGACTAGTTGCTTTTAGCCTTTTATTTGTTTATTTATAAGGAGATCGGTATTATTCATACAAACTGGGAATTGCAACCACAGAGTTCTGATTTTTAAAATAAACCTCTGTTCCAGTTCTTACGGTTGTATAGCAGTGTGTCAAATACAATGTCAGAGCAGTGCTTCTGACTTCATGATTCTGTTTAAAAGTACACTGTCACCACCTAACAGGCAATATGAACAGTATTTAAAAAAATTTTCTCCAGTTTTATTGAGATGTAATTGACATATAACATTGTATTGAAGATGTATAACATAATGCTTTGGTGTATGTATATATTGTGAAATGAGTACCACAATTAATTTAGTTAATATCCATCACCTCACTTAGTTTACAAATTTTTTTTTTCTTGTGATGAAACTTTTAAGATCTACTCTCTTAGCAACTGTCAAATATACAATACAGTATTGTTAATTATTGTACGTTACATTCCCAGAACTTGTTAATCTTATACTTTTTGACTATCTTCACTCATTTCACCTACCCCCACTCCCTGCCTCCAGCAGCCACCAGTCTGTTTCCTGTTTCTATGAGTTTGGTTCTTTTTAGATTCCATATATAATTGAGGTCATATGGTATTTGTCTTTTTCTGTCTGACTTATTTTATTAACATAATGCCGTCAAGGTCTATTCATTCTGTTGCAAATGGCAGGATTTCTTTCCTTTTTCTGGTTGAATAATATTCCACTTTACACACACACACACACACACACACTGTCCCTCGCATGCACACCACCCATTTTCTTATTTATCCATCAAGTTATGCTTAGGTTGCTTTGTGCCTTGGCTATTGTAAATGATGCCACAAAGAACGTGGGGGTGCATGTATCTCTTTGAGATAGTGATTTTGTTTCCTTTGGGTATGCTCCTGGAAGTGGAATTGCTGGGTCATATGGTGGTCCTATTTTTAATTTTTTGAGGAGCCTCCATACTGTTTTCCATAGTGACTGCACTAATTTACATTCCCACCCACAGTGTACAAGAGTTCCCTTTCCTTTACATCTTTTTGAAGGTAACCATTCTAACATGTGAGGTAATAATGTCATTGTGGTTTTGATATGCATTTCCCTGGTGATGAGTAATGTTAAGTACTTTTTCATATCCCTGTTCAGCATTTGTATGTCTTCTGTGGAAAAGTGTCTATTCAGTTTTTCTGCCTGTTTTTAAATCAGGTTTTCTTTTTCTATTGAGTTTAATGAGTTCTTTATATATTTTGGATATTAACCCCTTATTAGATACATGATTTGCAAATATTTTCTCCCATTTGGTAGGTTGCCTCCTTCATTTTATTAATGGTTTCCTTTGCTGTGCAGAAGCTTCTTAGTTTGATGTAGTTCTACTGGTTTATTTTTGCTTTTGTTCCCTTTGCTTTTGGTGTCAGATCCAAAAAGTCATTGCCAAGACCTGTGTCAAAGAGCTTACCCCCGTATGTTTTCTTCTAGGAATTTATAGTTTCAGGTCTTATGTTCAAGTCTTTAATCCATTTTGAGTTGATTTTTGTGTATGGTATAATGGAAGGGTCCAGTGCCATTTTTTTTGCATGTGGCTGTCCATTTTTCCCAACACTATTTATTGAAGAGAATGTCCTTTCCCTAGTGTATATTCTTGCTTCCTTTGCCAAAAATGAATTGACCATATATATGTGGGCTTATTTCTAGGCTATCTTGTCCATAAATATTGTCCCATTTATCTGTGTGTCTGTTTAATGCCAATAACATACTGTTTTGATTACTAAAGCTTTGTAATATAGTTTGAAAGTAGGAACTATGACTCTTCCAGCTTTGTTCTTATTTCTAAAGATTGCTTTGGCTTTTTGGGGTCTCTTGTGGGTTCATGCAAATTTTAGGATTGTCTTTTTCTACTTCTGTGAAAAATGCCTTGTGTTCATCAATATGTTTCATTGGTGATTTGTAGTTTTCAGTACACAGAATTTTTACCTCCTTAGTTAAATTTACTCATAGGTACTTTATTATTTTTTATGAAGTTGTAAAGGGTGTTGTTTTCTTAATTTATCTTTCTGATAGTTCATTGTTAATGTGTAGAAATGCAATTTGTTTTTCTATATTGATTTTGTATATTGCAACTTTACTGAATTCACTTATTCTGATTTTTGGTGGAGTTTTTAGGCTTTCCTATATATGTGGTATCATGTCTTCTGCAATAGAGACAGTTTCACTTCTTCCTTTTTGATTTAGATGCCTTTTATTTCGTTTTCTTGCCTAATTGCTCTGACTAGAACTTGCAACACTATATTGAGTAAAGTAGCAAAAGTGGGCTTCCTTGTCTTATTCCTGGTCTGAGAGGAAAAGGTTTCATCTTGTTATCATTGAGTGTGATGTTGAATAAGATGTATGATATTCTTTAATTTGTGGGAAAACTGGGTGCTCTAGCTTGTGAGCTGACTTGATATTTATGAGCAGATGAGATGTTTCCTTGGGGAAAATTTGTTCTGCTGTGACAAAACTGTCGTTGAAACATCACTATAACCAATAATACCTGTGAGTTACTTCAACTCTTGCTATAAGAATTGTTTCCTGTGACCTTGGTTTGGAATGGCATGCTTTAAAATAAAATAATTAGTTCCAGATTTGTAATAATACAGAAAAATAACCTTTCAAAGCAAAGTAGAAGTGCTTTATATGGGGGTTCTTATGAGTTGCAAATTTTGTTATTCTAAATACTATTTGTCCTAACTAAGGTATTCATTCTAGAGGAGTTTTATCTGGGTTGTTTGTAGATCTGATAAAGATGGTTTGATGTTTTTCTTACTTAACTGATGTTTGCACAGCTGAGACTAGATGCAAAACACAATAGCAGCATTTCTATTTGCCCATCCAGCAGAATAAAAACGTACCCTGATAGTGATAACTTTGAATTCTCCTTTTGAGCCTGGCGCTTTGCTTATTCTCTCAGTCTAGCACTGGCTTTTGAAATTAACGTATCCTCTCCTCAGATTCTAAGCCCTCAGGTCTTTATGGATTTAAGAGAGAAAACCCAAAAGTCAAAACTGAAGGGACCAACTTTAATCTTTAAGAGAATGTTTCAGTACATATCCTTTCATTTCTATCTTATTTATATATTTCTGCAAGTGGCTGATATGATTAATCTGTATCCTCAATGTGGACTTGTTGGAATAATTGTGATAATATAGAGTGGCAAATGGATGGCATAAAGGTATTAATGAAATTTTTAAGTAACAGTGATAATTTATTATCTATTACATGCTTGTCACTACAGGGTTTTTTCTAGCATTATTTTTAACCCACAGAGCAAGCCTATAAACTGAACTATGGGTGGTCATACTGGGCTTTGTGTAAGGTCACCAAAATTTCGAGGGTGCAAACATTTAATGTAATGATTCTAAAAGCTTGGCACCTAGCTAGCAAGAATAATTATTTAAAACAGTAAGCTACCAGATGGTGAGCATTTTTAGTAACACCCATCTGTGGGCTGCATTATGAATTACAGAGTTGATTTGGGAGCTGGTTTTTAGTTCGTTCCAGGTGCCATAATTGCTGGTTAATTGTGTTTGCTTATTGTATTTATAAGGTAGATACTGTAATCCCCATTTTATAGGTGG